AGTCTTTTAACAGACTTAAAACAATTATTGGGGTGCTCATAACCTTTTGTGGAGAGGACTCCCACCAGTTGTCTCGGGAAAGATATGACAACACCTGGGATTAGGGCTCCAGCAGGCTGGATGCTGTGATGAACCCTTAACCATTGTTCAAATGTTGCCCATACCCCCTCTGACTCAGTCTCTTGCCTCAGCATTCCCTAACCCGGCAACCGAGTTTTAGTCAATCAAGTTTAAATAGGCCTCCCACAGTGGGACCGGGGAATGTACGGCCCGAGATGCCTATTAAACTTAGAGCTGTGTGTGTGTGTCTGGGGGGGGAAAAGTCCTTAGCAAATCCAGATTAGAACTGGTCTGATAAATGCTGAGCTGGGTGTGTGTGAACATGGGTTGATTAACATTGGAAGCACAGATTCCCCATCATGCAGCACTCTCCTGCTTCTCTGGTCCCAGAATTCACTGCAGTCTCTGTTTCAGGCTTTCTGTTTTCCATCTCTCATGTAAATGAGACCTAGGGCAGTTGATTCACTCTTGTCACCCTTATCTGGTGAGGGTCTTAGGTGCGTCTCTCACTGCATCTTAATCAGTTTCATTTAGGTAGAGGAGGGGAGGCAGGGTGGGGGTGAGTCCTTTGTGAGTCAGACAGACTGCATCCTGTGCCAGGGTTGCCCAAGAATACAGAGCTGAGACGTAACAGTACACAGGTTATTTTCTTTTCTTAAGTAGGCTAACATTTGAAATTTTGAGCCATTGCTCAACATTTCTTTTGGGGAAAAGGTCCTTTCTTTATTATTTTGATTAGATTTTTCCTACTTGAGTTTGAAATGCCTGAGTTCATAAATCCTAGTTTGAGTCTGGAAAGTTAAATACAGTTTGACTAACATGTCCAAAGCCAATATTTGACAATATGGTGATTTTCTCACTTTCCCATTGAATGTTTGGGTTGAACAAGTCTTGAGTTATGTTCATTGTATTTCTCCTTTCCCCACATTATACTCTCTACCTTCCTCTCAATTTCTGTTTTGTTTTTTTGTTGGATTTATTTACCCTTACTTTTCCTTTTAAGTGTGTACATATGGATATTTGCATTTATGCAGCTAATCCAGGGGTGGACAAAACGGTGGATCCAGCTGATGACCAGACCCCATTTCCCAGGAGTCCCTGTCCACTTCGCTGCAGTTGGTTTTCGTGGAGACCCCAATAAGAGTAGCTCCATGACAGCACAGAGCCAGGGTTTCCATGGAGACTGGCCCCAGCAGTGCTGGGGGGCGGGGGGTGGGAAGGTGCCCTGGGGCCAGGGCTGAGATCTTGCAGAACCAGGGCAGAGCCACAATCCACTGCCTCATGCCCCTGCCCCAGGGTGTGTGGCCAGTGGCTCATGGCTCTGCCCTGGCTCCAGACCACACTGTCACCATCGCAAGATCCCAGCCCTGCCCTACTGTATACCCTGCCAGTGCTGCTGGGGCCGGTCTCCATGGAAACACTGGCCCCATGCTGTCATGGTACTGCCATTCCTGGGATCTTCATGGAAACTAGCAGCAGTGATGTGGGCTGGGGCTGCTGGGAAATGGAGTCTATCATGGGCTTGATCCAACCCATGGGCCAGACTTTGCCTACCCCTGAGCTAGTGTCTTTCTCTCATGCTTTATATAGCAGTCCTGGACATTCAGTCATTTTATAACCTGTTTACTACTAAATACTGAAAATGAAGTGTCATATCCAGTCAAGAAACCAGCCCAGCATGGGGCTCACAGTCTGCCTTCATTAATGTGGACCAGAAGCAGCCACACTTGACTTGTTGACATCCAGCTGCAATGGGGTGCATCACTGGAGCCCTCAAGTCACCCCCAACACCTTGGCTGCCCATGCTGCTGTACATCGCTCCTCCACCCATTTATCATGATGCAGCAACTCTAAAGGAAGTCCAGAAAATTAAGGGGAAAAAAATTCCCCATCCACCATGACCTCAACAATATCCTTCACCATCACCTGAAGTTGTGCAAGCCCTTCTGATTCCACATGCTTAACCTTCAACAATGTGACTTCAACCCTGTTGAAGCTTGGAAAAATGAATGGAGTTCACAGGAAGTTCCAAATAAACATTGTGTGATGGATCCAATGCAGAAGGTCCCTGGATTTGATCTCCCACAATGCTCATAGCTAACTTTAAACCTTATCCACACAAACCATGGGAGATGCAGATACTTGACACACAAATGGAAAATTAAAAACTTTCCAGTGTGTGACTGTCCCAGAACAGACCATGGAACATATAATGACTTTTAGTATGCTTGTTAGTTTTCAGACTCTTCTGTGCTTAACTACTTTGCACATTGAATTGCTTGGATATTTCAGAATTATTAGTTAGTGGTTGGTGGATCATATATTTTTTTCAATGCCTGATTCACAAATATGAAGGAAGTATCACAGCAATATACTCTGCTGCTCCTGAAGCACTGACCCAGCCTCTTGCCCCATCCACATGCTGGGAAGAGCCCCATGTAGTACCTGCCCCAGCCCACAGCTGCAGCCAACCCCACCTGTGCAGATGCGGGGTCACATCCCCTGCCATGTCCTCCCGGGGTGCTCACCCTCCACCCTGTGCCTCCTGGATGAGCTGCAGCTCCATCCCACACCTTTCCCCACCCCTGCCCCAGCTGGGCAGCCGCTCCCCAGCCCCTGTCCCACTCCATCCCTTACCGTAGGGGACCTTGATCTACCCCACTACATCCCTTCCCTCCCCTCTCCCCTTCCACCCCAACAAACATACCAGCTACATGTAAGCTGTGCTCCAAGCTGCCAGGCTGTGCTCCTCACTGTCTGCATGCTGCACTGTGGCTGCACACATGCACAGACATTTCTTGGCCAAATTATTGGCCACATCAGGCCAGTTTCCAATATGTTCAATTCTCTTTATATTGGTGCTGATCCGGTATAAGACCAATGTATTGGTGCACCTCTACTTAATAGATAATAAATTATTATTTTTGTTTATGTTGCAATAGAGTAGAGACCTGATGGCTGTCATTTGGACCACTTATTGGAAGTAGCATTTGATATATGGATTGAAATTTTGTTATGTGCTTTGAAGAATTTGCTGGTGAACAGTATTTAAATACCTATTAAGATACTACAGTGATTCTGCCTGCCTGCCCCCACCCCCAGAGGCACTACCTGCATTTGTCAAGGTCATAGTGTTATAGCATTCTTTAAGTCAATTAACTGTTTACACTATTCCATTTTACCCAAAACATGGACAAAATGTAATTTACTATTCTACAGATCATATTGTCTATGCATTACCGTACGTTAATCAGAGATTACTTTCATAACTTGAATTGAAGGTAAATATATGTTTCAACTTTTCTTTTGCAGTATTCTTAATTCACTTACTTGAAAAACATATGATCCACCAACCACTAGCTGATAATTCTGAAATATCCAAGCTCTTCAATGTGCAGAGTAGTTAAGCACAGAAGAATCTGATGAAAACTAACAGGCATAACACTAGACAAATTAACACAAAAAATATTACAAAAGACACTGGAATATTTACAGTACAGAAAATAAAAAGTTTAGCTAGTATATTTTTATTCCACAAAATTCACTCTCAACATTATTCTCAATGATATGTAATTACTGAAATACTTATGTTCCAAGAGAAAAGTTCTCAAATGTGCATCCAGGTTTTTTTCTTTTTGGGGGGGGGGGGGGGGGGGGGGGGGAGGATGTAAAAAAACTAGATTTTTCTTGGTTTCACAGCACTCTCATGAATGTGAGATGGTGATAAAGATTTTTGACTAAGGACACCCTTTTGAGTGTAGAGTGAGACTTCATAATATCTCTGCAACTAAGATATATTGATTACCATCACTTGCCTTCTAAAATATACACAACAGAGTAGGCTTAGATACAGAATGCACAGGATAAAGCTAGTATAAATATAGCAGTCTGCTGGAGGTGTTGAGGATCTGGGGGCTCTTTAATAAGTATGCTATGGGAGTTTTTCAGGCAGAAAGCTCTGAAAGCCTTGTGCCCTTCAGAACTAATATTTTCAATGTGACTGTTGTGAAAGCTTATTTTTATGAGAAGCAAGAAACAAGGGTGAGAAATTCATACTAGCAGTTTTTGTTCAGCAAAATCTAGTTTTTCAGAGTTGGAAAAGAAGTAGTTAGCCATGGTAGTCTGAAGTTAGGTAGATGGTAGGACATGGTGGCACTGCAGGGTATAGACACACATACACCTGGAGTTATTTAAGCAGGGGAAAACTTTAAAAAAGCAGCAGCTGCACATTCTAATTCTTACATGCTGACAAGCCAAGAATGGTAGAAATGTAGCATTGCTTCGTCAAGAATTAAAGTTGGAGCAATTTATGACACGTATACATTTCAAGCTTGGCCATGTGTAACATTCAGAATGTAACAGTTGCTGCCTTTTTTAAATGGTTCCAAGTGTACATGTATCCATCCATACTTTAAAGGACTAATTGGTTCAGAGAGGCAAGAGTTTTCATGGGTGAAAATCCTACTTCATCACATATTATACTGAAAGTTGGCCAAGAGTTGGATGATGATACATACACACACAAAGAAGTACAGTCAAAATAGTAACTTCAGAGAAGCTTACATATGAATGATGAACCAAACAGTTTTAAAAGGTGGTCTAATTTTTCAATTCATTACATTCATATTGATTCAAAATCATTTTTACTATGGTAGAGATTATTTAAATGCATATAATTAGAGCATGTACTCAATATGTGCCCAAGAGTGCATTTATTTTCTTTCTCCCTTCCTTATTCAGTGACTTTTTTGAAATATAATACCTCTATTCAGTACTGGTGAGGCCACATCTGGAGTACTGCATTTAGTTCTGGGCACCTCACTACGGAAAGGATGTGAAGAAATTGGAGAGAGTCTAGGGGAAGGCAACACAAACGGTGAGGGGGCTGTGGCACATGACTTATGAGGAAAGACTGAGGGAACTGGGCTTATTTTGTCTAGAAAAGAGAAGACGGGGGGGTGGGGAATTGGCCACAGGCGGGACACCCCCCTCCCCCGTCTGTGGGATCGGCCATAGGGGGTGGGGGGAACTGCCCCCTGACTCAGGAGGCATCGGTTGCCCATGGATCTGCTGAATGATGGCTTACAATTAGTAAATCTTGTATCTTTTGTTTTACTTTATTTAGGATATATCTTAGGGTTGGCAACATTTTCCCATGGCAGGCTCAAGTGACCTAGCTCGAGGACCCAACTGCTGCTGCTCCTTTGCCCCACTACCATTTTTCTCTGTCACCCTGCTGCAGAAGCTCCCTGTCTGTGGACTAGATCAATGGCTCCATGGGGTAGATACAATTATGGGCCATAGATTGTCAACCCCTGCACCTTAGAGCATCAGAGGATACATTGAGTTTAAATAATTAAATATTCTTCAGTATAAAGTCAAATCAACTAAGTCAGAACATATAAATTAAGCTGTAGGCCCTCAGTGGCAATTTGTTAGGGTTTTTTTATGATGTGGGCGCTCTGAAATTCCAAATTTCCAATTTTATTCCTCAAAAAATCCACAAGCCTATACTCTTATGTTCCAGCTATCTATTTTCTTTCCTCCAAAATCTTGAACTGGAGACAGGCCATTTAAAATAGTTACAGACATAATCACCAGGGAATACTACTAACCATCAATAGTTTATCTCCAACAACTTTAATTGAAAATCTATTTTAGAGATCTGTTTCCATCATATGTTGTATTCTCCGGATAAAAAGAACCATTAACATGAAGTTATTAAAATAAGAATATAAAACTATTTTACTTCAGCAAAATAAACCCCTGAGATTGTAACCTTGAAAATTTAAGGTCCATTTTAAAATGCCTGTACAAAATATTAGAACAGAATCCCTGTTAAGGTCATACAAACCACTTGAAATAACTGTCTCATCTGATAATTTTATAGGCCAGTTACAACTGGGGACACATCATGTCTGATAAATTAATTATCCAAAAACAGTTCCACTTGACTCTCTTCAACCCATTTCAGTAGCTAGTGACACATGTATAGGAACTTTAAAAATCAGGATGTAAAATGTAGTCACAATTATGCAGAGGTGATGCTTAAGTGATAACAGTAGTGGGGCACAACTCTGTGCCACCACCCCTGCCCCTGCTGCTGCCATGCACTGGCTCTGACAGGACTGTAACCCTGTGTCCCAGGGTCAGTGCAGAAATCACACCGCTGTCACCACTCTTGCTGCTGCCAGGCCCTGGTTCTAGCTGGGCTGCAGCCCCAAGCCCCACTGTTGGTGCACAAATCTGGGCACCAACCCTCTGGGCACGTGCCCTCCTGTGTTCCCCCCGCCCCGATGCATTGCCAATGCAGTTGTAGCCTCTGTTATATTGTACCCGGTATCAAATATACATGTCCTTAATTTAAGAGACTGCATGAAGTCGGGTGGAATTCTTAAGTAACTGCATATAGCAGCCTATCTCCAAATTATTAGAATACTAGAATCATAGAAAAGTAGGGCTGGAAAGCACCCTAAGAAGTCATTTAATCCAATCCCCTGCTCAAAGCAGGATTGTCCTTGTCTAAATCATTCTAGCCAAGAAGATAAAGTCATATTCATGTGCTGTAGATCTTTAAAACACCACTGTATAGGCAATAACTTTAATTTAAAATATAAATATATTTAAAACACAACTGTCGTATAGACATGATACTTTAATATGAACTGATTGCAATGCACCATTACAGTAAACAACATTTTAAGAAATCAGAGTGGCATGATTAAACCTGAGATTTAAAAAAAAAACAACGTTGTAGCAAGGTCAAAAAGGCAGGAAAAGAAAATATATGGCCGAAAATCTTCCTAATTGTTTGAAGCCTTCCATTCAACTGAGTAGTCTTGCCCTAGTTCAAGTTGAAGCTGAGTTATATGAAGAACCTTTGAAATGATAGAAAAACAATAATTAACTCTCTAGCCACATCTTTCTTAAGCTCACACATTACATAGTAATTTTGTATTTTATATGAGGTAGTTATTTCTCTTTTTCTTTTTCTGACATATAAAACATTTTGATAGGAACAGAATCATGCAACTACTTCTTGAAATATTCCCCCGGGGTGGAAGTAGCTTTAAGTAATGTTGGGGGAAAAAAAAAATCAGGCACTCAGATGAGCATTTCTAAAGATTAAGGTTCCTACTGTCATGATTAGCTGGCCACACTGCACATATTCTATGCGATAGTTTTCAATTTTATTTGATATTTGGTTAAATATAAACTTTGACTTCATTTTGTGTTATAAACAAAATACCAGAATGCTTCCAGGATGACTAAATTAACCCTGCAATAGAAACCTTAATTGCAGACATTTCCTGGGTTTTGATTGCTTGATTTCTCAACCTTAATGTCTGAATATTTTTTTTGTTTGCATATACTAAAATATAAAAACATGGAATATGGTATGGCAAATGAAAACTGATTCTATTCCAGAGAAGTAACATAACTATGTAAATAGTGTTATTCTTTAAATTGGCTATTTACCTGTTTTTCGGTACTGTAACTGATATTATGAGCAGACGGAAGGTTCACTCCATTTTGTTTAATTATAACATTCAAAGGGTTTTTGGAAACTCCCAGGATTTTAATGTCACTAAACTTTAATGCATTAGGGTCAGTATAGCCATTGTGCGAAACCGTGATTGTTAGAACATCCTGAAAGAAAACAATACACATTAGGAATATGTCATCAAGAACTGATTTAGTCCATTTCAATTCCTGGAGCATCTTACAGCATGATGACATTATTTTCTATCTAATTATTGGCTAAAATCATGCAGTCCTTTCTTTCTAGAACCACACATTTGTTTGTTATATGGGCCTGTCAGTGTCCCCTGCTTCAGACTATGCAAGAGGTACTTTTGTGTTTAATGTAATTATGCACCAAATGATTGCTTGTCTCAATGTGAGTACAAGTGAAGCATGAAACATAAACAGTGCAAGGAGCTTTTCTCTACATGTACAAGTCAGCCCCAATTGCAGTCCTCCCTTAATTACAGACTGCTTTTTGCCAGGGATTCCTGATGCCAAAACCAGCTCAAAAGAAAAGGAGACCTTGAGGACATGGGCCTTTATTTCTTCTTCACCAGCCAAAAGACCTGTCTGACAGGCAGAGAAGCAGAGAAGACAGTAGAATAAACATATTTCCTCTGCATGAGCATTAGTGCAATCTCAAAAGGTACCAGCTAGTCCTTGCAAGAATGCCACGAGTTTGTACTCTGGAATACATAATTAATTTTAATTTAAATGTAGATTTTCTCCCATCTCTTATTTTTATGTAAATATTTCATTACAAAATGTTATAAGATTTTTCCAAATGTTTCCCCCTACAAGTTTTATTCAGGCAAAATTCCTATTAAAAACACTGGACAAAATCCTGGGAGCTCACTGTACAGTTTCATTCTCAGTCCACAGCTGGCATCATGTCATAACACATACTACACACTACCATTGGCAATTTGCACTGCTAAGACAGCTTCAAGTTTGTAATTTTTGTATTCTGGCAGCACTGAGAAAACAACTGCATTTGGCCCTTTGGTTTATGTGAGGCAAGATTCAACGAATCCTTTCTGCACCTTACATACCTGCCCAGCAGCAAGCAAGAAACTGCTCTCCACCCTAGCCCTGTTCTCATCACTCCTGCTGATTTCTTTTTTTTTGCCTAAAATGAATTTTGAGTCAATTCAAGTTCTGCTAGGTCAATAAGCTCTAGTTCAGCACTTTGGATGTCTATACACATGCTCCAGAGTGGGGGGGGTGGGGAGCACTTTAATTACAGCATCTCTGAGAGCCACGTTAATTAAAGCTTCTACAGCGTTATGTATATTCAGTATCCTGTGCTTCAAAATGGCAGCAGGGGCACTTTAACTAAAGCTAACTTGACAAGCTTTAGTTAAAGTGCCCCTGCCACCATTTTGAAATGCAGGGATGCTGAATACAGGATGTGGAGGCTGCTGGAGCACACTAAGTAGCACGCTCCAAAAGACTCGCAACAGAGTCAATAATCAAGTCTGCTCTGATTAGTAGGCCTGTGCGAAGCTTTGGTCCCTGATCTGATTCAACAGAGATTTCATCTGATTTAGTGGCCAAATCTCTGAATCAAAATTGAAACCAAATCAGAGGACCCTTTAATCTCTCTGAATTGAATCAGAACCCTCTGAATCGATTTGGAGAGATTCAGAAATATTCAGCGATTTGGACACAGACACAGCTCTAAATGTTTTTTCTACATACCTCTAGGTAGCTGGCGGCTCGTGAATGCTGCGATGCTGAGGCACATGGAGTGTCCCACAGAAGCGAGGGGGGCTCCCCAGCACACTCAGTGGCAAACCCAGAACTGGACCAGAAGCACTTCCGGTCCACTTCCGGGTTTGCTGGGGAGTGCACAGGGAGGGCTGTCTGTACCCCCCAGCTTGGCCACTGGTGCCTCTTGGGTCTGGGAAGGCCCGCAGGGTCCCCCTGTGGCCAATCACCAAGCCAGGGTGACACGGGGGTCCCCCCCCTGCACACTCCCTAGTGAATCCAGAAGTGGACTGGAAGTACTTCCAGTCTACTTCTAGGTTTGCCGCTGAGCACATGAGGGACCCCCTGCGCTCCTTTGGGATGCTCCATGCACCCCAGCATCACAGCATTCACAAGCTGCACTGGTACCTTGAGGTATGTAGAAAAAGCATTTAAAGCTGTGTCTATGTTTGAGTCGCTGATTCCCCAAATCAGCATCGAATCTTCAGATTCTGATTTGGCTGAATAGAATCAGGGACAGGGATCCAAATCAATGAATCAAATCATTGTGTCCAATACGGGCCGAATCTGAATCCGAATTGAATAGGGCCCACTTCACACACCCCTTCTAATTAGCATGTTTTGGAACAAAGTTCTGCCATGTGTACAGGTGCCCTTTAACTCTGGAACAGATCTGAACATCACTACTTCAATGGAAGACTCAATTGACCTATTGACTCAATGCCCTTTGTCCTCAAGTACTTCCAAGTCTATAAGAATCTCCAATACTTGTATAGGATGGGAAGTACCATTCTGAGTACCACGACAGTGGAAAGACATCTTGGAGTCATAGTTGACGCAAAAATGAGCATGAGTTGCCAATGTAATTAGGTAATAAAGTAAGGCTAACTGCACTCTTTCTTGCATTAGTAGGTGCATTACGAGCAGGTCTAGGGAGGTGATACTTCCCCTCTATGTGGCACTGGTGAGACTGCAGCTGGAGTACTGAGTCCAGTTTTGGATGCTGCACTTCTAGAGGGATGTGGGTAACCTTGAGAGGGGTCAGAGGAAGGCTACTCATATGGTTGAGAGCCTGCAGGTAAGATTCTATGAAGACAGACTGAGGGACCTGAATCTCTTCAGCCTCCACAAGAGAAGGCTGAGAGGTGATCTTGTGGCTGTCTACAAGCTCATCGTGGGGGTCAGCAGGGAATAGGGGATGCTCTGTTTACCAGGATGCGCCTCGGGATTACTTGAAATAAAGGCCACAAACTGAAGGAGAGTTGATTTAGGTTAGGTAAATCAGAAAGAAATTCTTTACGGTAAGGATTGCCAAAATATGGAATGGGCTTCCAAGGGAGGTGGTGCTCTCTCCTACCTTGGAGGTGTTCAGAAAGAGATTGGACAAGCACTTGGCTGGGGTTACTTAACCCCAGGGGAAGGGGGTCAGACTTGATGATCTACTAGGTCCCTTCCAACCGTACAAATCTATGAAATCTATGAATCAAGTTCAACAAACTGTCAGTAATGAAGGCTGAGGAGTACAACATACTTTTAAAGCTACTGTGATGACTGAGTACCTGTATTTTCAAGGAAAAATGGTTTAATTTTCTAGATATATTACTGATATAAAAAATGCCCCACAAGAATATAGGAAGCACTGTGCTAACCATTGTCACAATATGAGTGAAAAACAGGACAACAGTTTTATGGGGCAGTTGATGCAACTGTACTTAAGTTATGGGAACATATTTTCTTCTAGGTCAGGGGTGGGAAATTATTTGGTCTGGAGGACCACTTAGGGAGTTCTGGCAAGCTGTCATGGGCTGAGACACTGTACCACCCTCCTCCACCAGCCAGGCCAGGTCAGCACCCCCCAATTCTGACCCACAACAGCTCACCAAAACTCACAAAATCGCTCTTCCCCAACCTTGGCCAGGTGAGTGAGATGGGGCCATGGGCAGGCAGGCACCAGCATCCAGGAGTGGGATAGGCAGGTGAAGCCAGGGCTTGGGTTGGGTTGGGATCACAGGACTATGACAGTATGGTGCAGAGTCCCAGGACAGAGCCACGATCCACTCTCAACATGCCCTTGCAACAGGTGCCAGTTCCATGAGCAGGGACATGCAAGGAGCAGATCTCAGCTCTGCCATGGGCCCTAGCCTCACTGTCAACCCACAATCCTGATCCCAGCCCTGCCCACCCATCCTGCTCCCGGACGCTGCTCCCTGCCTGCCCATAGCCCCATCCTATCTGCCTAGCCAAGTGCACCCTGCCTACATGGGTCCCAGCCCAGTTTCCATGGAGGGCCCACCTGCACACACTGTCTGGTACCCTTCAGCAGTGGGTATGAGGTTGATGGGCTATGGTGCCCTGGGCAGGAGGGCTGGGTCCAGAAACAGCAGCAGAGACTGGCAGTGGTAACTGGAAGGAGCTGCTGCTGCAGAAGCTGGAGGGAACTGAATTCAACTGCCTCACCACCCCAGCCCTACAGTGTGCCCAGGAGCAGCAGGACCAGCCACATCTGCCACAGCCTGGGTTGCCCCCTGGTTCTGGGCCAGGTAGGACCAAGGGACCCACCATGGGCTGGATAAAATCCCTTGGCAGTCCAGATTCAGACTGAGGGCTGTATTTTGACCACTCATGTTCTAAATATACCCAATAATACAAAGTCTCTAGGAAAAGGACTCTAACTAAAGCTGATAAGTCTTGTACCAAGAGGGCAGACTTGCTGGTTCAGGTCCCATATTTATCTCTATTTGACTGTTACTATATTTTAGTGCAATTTAATATAATTTCAGGAGCAACATGTCTTTAGTTTAGTAAAGACATTCTTCATTATTGGCTAAACTAATACACTGCATCTTCAATTAGTTAGGCATTATCTTACTGGATTTCTGTCAGTGTAGGATATGTGCATTTGTTTAACATTTCTTGCAACTGCAAATGGTAAATATTAGTAAAATAAACATCTCCTTTCTCAGTAATTAACATCTAATTACTTGACAAAGACTATGTTAAATGTGATGTGAGTGCAGCAGGGATACAATAATACACATTTCAGCACCCTGGAAGATAATGAAACTGAGTTACCGTTTTAAAAAAATATATATAAATAACATTTCTTTTCAGTCAATAGCTCATATAATCACAGGCTAATTGAATTCCAGATATCACTGGCTTGAATAAAATTAAAAATGACCCTTTAGAAATGCCAATACCTATAACAAAATTTTTCATTCTTCAGCTTCATTATGCACAACTACTGAATGTCAAATATTCCTGTTTTGAAGCATAAAGACAAAAGGTAATAATGAACTAGATCATTGGCTAATCTAGTCCGCTAAAAAGATTTCCCTTTAATTAAACAATGTTTCAGACCAACCAACCATTTCTCATCTTCCATGGGGCACAACACCCAGTAAGATGCTCAG